GAGGCCTCCAGTCTGAGGAGACAAGACCAGCTGAGGATCTGGCAAGGTGAGATAGCTGTGGCTTGTTCTGTCTCTCTGATCTACCAGCATGGACCCCAATAACTTGCCTCGGGTTTGATTTTATTAATAAGAACTTTTAAGATTCCTGCTACACCTCTCTACTATTGAATGTCTTTATTTGTTTTTACATATAATATTTTTACTAATTTTTGAGAATTTCACACATGCACCCAATGTCTTTTGATCATATTCATCCCACACTCCCCCAACTCCTCCCAGGGCCACCCTTACCCTCTTATCCCTTACAACTTCATGTCTTCTCTATTTTTAAAGTATCATTCATTGCATGCATTTTTATTTGTAGTATAAAAACAATTCTCAAAGACATTCATTTGTATGCATCAATGTTTTATTTAACTCATGTCTGAAGACAAAACAATAGATTTCAAGAGCATTTGAGAAATAGAGCTGTATCATCAATGGAAAAGACTGTCAAAATCAGATTATTAAGTTAGATATGAGTGGTTAGAATTTTATAGGAAATAAAACCATATCATCTGCATTTTTGTCAGTTGTGGATTATAACAAATGTGGCAACTGTGTTATAATTCCCAAAGAAGTCACAGAAGGGCCAAGCAGGATTACTAGAAAATGTACTAGGATGAAACAACAACCATATCCATTCTTTTGCCTTTTCTGTGACTGGGACACATTTTTTTTCTCTCCTGTTTTCAAACCATCCTGGGCTGCAAACTTTAAATGCATCCTCTGACTGTTTGGTGGACTATAATTGCTACCATGATGTGTTTGTGCATAATAAAGTGTACAGGTAGAAGAACCAGTGAAACATTCCCAAGCTTCTGGAGAGAATGTGGCAATGCATACTGGAGTATTCACTAATTTTTAACAGTTGAGATTTCTCGTGATTCAATGACAAAGATATAGTATAAAAAGTTCCATTATATTTTTGTTTTAGCAGGAAATTAAGTGAAGGAAGGATTAAAACAAATGCATTAATAGAACTTTAAACTTTATAATTTTCCTGTGGAAATATTAAAATGTCTTTTAGTATTTTAGTATTATTTAGTATTATAATGATAGTATTATCATTAGAGCTGAGTAGCAGTCTATTATATATATATTTGTATATACTAAATTTTTTTTTTTTTTTTGGTTTTTCGAGACAGGGTTTCTCTGTGTAGCTTTGCGCCTTTCCTGGAGCTCACTTGGTAGCCCAGGCTGGCCTCGAACTCACAGAGATCCGCCTGGCTCTGCCTCCCGAGTGCTGGGATTAAAGGCGTGCGCCACCAACGCCCGGCCTGTATATACTAAATTTTTATTATCCATTCATCTGTTGATTCTAATTCTTTGCTATAGTTAATAAGACAGGATAAACATAGAGATACATATATGTCTATGGTAGGGTATGGAGTTTTCTGGGCATATGTCCAGGAATGAAACAGCTGGGTCATATGTTAGCTCTGCTTTTATTTTTTTGAGAAATTTCCAAATTGATTTCCACAATGGCAATATTAATTACCACCAACAGCGAATAAAGTATGCCTTCTCTCCACATCCCCTCCAACATTTCTCATCAGATTTGTTGATAGCTATAATGACTAGGGTGAGGTGGTATCTCAAAATAGTTTGATTTGCATTTCCCTGATGGGTAGGGATATTGAACACTAAAAAATAGTTATTGACCAGTTGTGTTTCATTTTTTTGAAAACTGTGCATTATGTTCATTTGCCTATTAGTTGATTAACAATTTTTAATTGGTATTTAATTTCTGCAGTTCTTTGTAAATTCTGGATATTTATGTTTTCATGATGTGTAGCTGGTAAAGACTTTTCTCTTATTCTGTGGGCTGTATGTTAACTGCTGATTGTTTCTTTTTCTGTACAGAAACTTTTTATTTTCATGCAGTCCCATCTGTTGATACTTGGGGTTAGTTCCTATGCTGTTAGTGTTTGATTAAAAAGTTCTTGACTACTCTGATATGTTAAAGGCTCTCCTCTGTGTTTTCTTCTAAAAGTTTCAGTGCTTCAGGTTCTAAATTAAGGTTCAAATGAAGGTAAAATTACAGGAACATGGATAGACTTCGAATGTATATTATTAAGTGAGGTCATACAATGTCAAAGAAAAAAATCTGCATATAGCTAATAATATATGTATATATGTAAACAAAAATGTACATTTGGGTACAATATAACATGAAGAAAAGAGAACAAGGAAGGCTAAATATAAGGGGGTCAAGAATGCAGCTAATGGTCATGAGTTATTTAAGAGGGTATAAGCTAATTGTTTTTCTAGTTCTGATTCTGTCACAAATTTTTTGGTTTTGGTAGTGCATAAAATATATTTGATACTGAAATTATAAAACTTAGTGTGATTCTTCACAGCTTCCATTATGAATGTTGACACTTAAGTTTTCGGAAAATGCAGAATTAATAATTTGGGAAGCATCAGAATAGAGTCATATATGACTGTATGGTTTTAAATAAAATGATGGTGGCATAATCAGTGTGGGGCAGTATGTATGTGGAAACCTGAGAGGGATGCTGGTCTTGAATTAGTGAGAGAACTTCCTTGTGGTTTGAAAAGAATAGCCCCCATAGGCTCATATATTTGAATTCTCAGTCATCAGGGAGTGGAGCTACAGAGGATTAGGAGGTATGGCCTTGTTGGAGTAGGTATGGCCATGTTGGAGGAAGTGTGTCACTGAGGGTGGACACTGAGGTTTAAAAAGCCCAGCCAGGGCCATTCTCTCTCTCTTCCTGCAGCCTGTGGATTCAGATGTAGAACTCTAAGCTGCTTCTTGAGTACCATATCTGCCTACATGCTACCATACTCTCTACCATGACAATAGACTAAACCTCTGAAATTATAAGCAAGCCACAATTAAATGCTTTCTTTGATAAGAGTTGTCATGGTCATGGTGATTTTTCACAGCAACAACACACTGACTAAGACAATCCTGGAGCTGAAGAAGGAGGCAAAGAGTAACAAGTAGAGGATGCAGAAGCCACCTCAGTACAGCTGCTGGGCCTCACATCCAAGAATCTCAAGCCTCAGGGCAATTTGGTGCTCCCAGACCTGGGGGTGAATTCGAAGGTATCGAGTGAGTAATGGTGGGTCTAGAGAATTCACCGTTGGTGTGGATGAGTCATGATTCCCCTGAAAAACCTGATAAAAAAAGAGGATAGACAGTATTTATTAACTGACTGACAAAAGTACCATTTATACCACCACATTCTTGCTAGAAGCCTCAACTTTAGTTTCTCCCTCTTCTGTCAGTCACTCATCCATGGCTCCTCTTCCTAATGGCCCTTTCCCCTTTTTGCATCTGTCACAATGCTTATAACAACATATGAGTGACTTACTTCAATTTGCTTTTAGCATTTTAATTGAACTCTGGGAGATTGTATGACTCCATGGGCCAAAAAGTTGTTTTGACTTGTAGAATTGAGATCAACCCACTTATCTGCTATGTAGGATTGCTCTAGCTATGCCTTACATCTGAAATATTCTCACCCATGTAAAAAAATCTCAATGAAACAAAATGCTTTGCCTAAGGTCATACACAATATCTGTGTGTCAGGTAATCTGGAGGTGGGAGTTAGGACTCAACTAGTTGACTCCAAAGTCACTGCATTTGTTATTGTAAGATGAGTATATAGTAAACATTCAATAAATGGTAGGTACTGTTATTAGTCATATATACTGTTTTCATACTTTAGTAGCAATACAACAAAGTGTGTAATTTGACTAGAGAGTGTGCAGAACAGAGAAAGTTGGGAGTAGAGTCCAAGATTCAAGGTGTCTTGCCACATTGAGATTTTGGAGGTAGGTCCACTTGTAAGCCAGTCATTTGAGGAAACGAAACTGAATATTCAAAATATGTGGTTCCAGGCAGCTATGAAACTCAGTAGGATGTGTGCAGTGTGTTTTTGTATTCCATGAACTTCATACAGTAGAGGACCAAATCAAAGTTTAAGAGTAATACAGAATCTTAGAGAAACATGAAGTGGTGACACTGTTGTAAGGAATACCTTTGCAAGCACAGACACAATGACATCTGTAAGATATACCCAGGTAGTTTGCATGGAGGGAAAGAGTAGGAACTAGGCCGTTGTCATGGGAAAACTGGCTAAACAACAAAGAAAGGACTCCTGTTTCCTGGGACTATTTAGATGACATTTACCTGCAATCATTCTGTGAACTATATCTTTACAAATTTGGTGTGAGTTTCACTTCAGATTCCAAGTGGAAAGGGACTTTTCTCAGAAAACATGGTAGAAATAATTCTGGTTCTACAGAATTTAACTATAAGAACAAACAAAGTCTAAGGTATGTTCTTTACTTCATTTTCTTTTTAGGTTCCCATCCATGGTTTCCCATGGCTGTTTAATGGAATCACCTAGGGAGCGTCTTAAAACAATTGAGGCTTACTCTAGCTCTTACCCCAGAGATGCCAATTTAACTGATTCTCGTACTTTGGCACCCCTTTTGTGGTGCCTAGAAAAGGCTTCTCAATATGTAAGCCTAGAGGTACCACATTCCTGCTTAAAACCTATGATAGGGCTGGAGATGGCTTGGTGGTTGAGGGCACTAGCTGTTTTTCTAGAGGACCTGAGTTCAATTTCCAGCACCTACATGACAGTCCACAACTGTCTGTAACTCCAGTTCCAAAGAATCTGACACTCTCTTCTGGCCTCCTTGAGCACTGAATTTAAATGGTACAAAGACATACATGCAGGCAAAACACCCATACCTCCATCACTCTCCAAAACAAAACCTTCCATACCACTTAGAATAAGATCCAAACTCATTCTGATCTCCAAGCCTACTCCAAGGCTACTGTTGGCTCTGATCTCACCTCCCACTGCTTTCCCCCCTGTTTTACACTGTAGACACATTTATCTTTTTTTAGTTACTGGACAGTGCCAACTCTTTTGTTGTTGTCATTGTTGTTGTTGTTGTTAATATGAGAACCTTTGTATGTATGATTCTTTCTGCTCAGAAGAAGTCTTTTATCACACTGTTTCCTCATCTTTATCTATTGTTTTTATCCTTCATGTCTCAGTATAAATGTCATATCATTAGAAAACTTTGCCTCCTCTAAAATATGGTTCCTGTTTTTTCTAAATCTGAAATTATTGTTTGTTCATTTGTAATATCTGGAGGTTGTTGACAGAGACATCATCATCACATAGAATATGGAACCTAAAGCACATATAGAAAATTCATCTGAGACAAAACATCTCATCATTCATCATGGAGTGAAACTTGTTAAGACATAGGACCTTCTAAAGAGAGACAAAACAATCTATCCTGCAGGGAAACTTGTTAAGATAAGGAAGTAAACATCTCAATAGCATCAGGAAGTCACTGAAACTGACCAGATTTACTAGGCTTCTCTGTTGGAGTATATAAGTAGAGACTGCTGAGAAGTCAAGCTGTCTGGAAAAGATTCAGGCCAAATGACTACTTAGAAAGACTGCTTTCCAAACTGTTGAGCTGTCTGCAAGCTGTGCAGTGTGCTCCTAGCTTCTAGCTTTCATGAGTTGTCATCTATGTTGGGGTGAGCTTTGATAATACAGCTGTCTTTTGGTCATTCCCGCTCTTGTAAGCTCTCATCCAGATTCCTGTGATTAATTCCAATAAAACTCACAGTTCATAAAGTTGGACTTCAGTGGTATCTTTGGTCTGTCATCAATTCACTATCTGGAATGAGTAGACATTGTTCATATCTCCTCAGGAATAGTGTCACACAACCATACAGCATGGCAAATATACTGTAAATATTTGTTGCATTAAAGTCTGTGTGCTTGATCAAACTTTTGAGAAACATTAAGGTTCCAGATTTGGGATTGTTTTTGGGTACAATTTTACAATATATTTGGAGGTGTTGTCTGTAACACAAACTGCTAAATAGTCTTATTAATTAAAAAAAAACCCACAGAGCCAGATACTGGGGTGAAAACTGAAAGATCAGAGAAAGAGAACAAATCACAGGCAACCTCACCTTGCCAACTCCTCAGCCGATCCTATTTCCATGAATCCTCAGACTGAAAACCTCTGAGTCTTCACCCCTGAGGGTCTCAGTTGAACTGCTGTTTAGTTCCTGTCTCTTCACACCTTATATACTGTTCTCCACCCAGCCATGCCACTTCCTGGAACTAAAGGCATGTGTGCTTTCCTAGCAAAGGCATGAGATCTCAAGTGGGATTAAACGTATGTGCCACCACTGCCTCACTCTGTTCTCAGTGTGGCCTTGAACTCAGAGAGATCCAGATGGATCTCTGCCTCCCCAGTGATAGGATTAAGGGTGTGTGCCACCACTATCTGCTTTTTATGTCTAATCCAGTGGCTGGCTCTGTCCTCTGATCCCAAGATAAGTTTATTAGGGTACACAATATATCATCACCACATTAGTCATCTTTCATTAGATATAACTCTTATTATGTCCTCTTAAACTTTTATTTATAAAAATTACAAGCCTAGAGGAATTAAAAGAATGACATAGTGAACATGCTTAAGACCTTCATCTAGAGTTACCAATTATTAGAATACAGATATTTATATTCTTTCTCCTGTTTATTTTTAAAATATTATTTTATTTAGTTATGTGCATGTGTGCATGTCTGTCTGTCTGTGCACTTAAGTGCAGATGTCCATAGAGGCCAGAAGCATTGGATTCTCTGGAAGTAGAATTATATGTAGTTGTGAACAGCTTGGAATTAGTTCTGGGAATTAAACTCAGATCCTCTGTAAGAGAGCAGTATGCACTCTTAACTGTTAATCCATCTTTCCAACTCCCTCCTTTCCTCTCTCTCTGTCTCTCTCTGTCTCTGTCTCTGTCTCTCTTTCTCCCTCTCTCTCTCTCCCTTCCTCTCTCTATCCCCCTCTTTCTGTACATACACACACACACACAAACACACACACACACACACACACTTTTTTCTGCACAGTTTGGTAGACAATTATAAACATCATGGTATTTTTTCATACTAAACATTTCAGCCTGCAAAACCTAAGAAAGGGGTCATTTTTTGTACATATCATAGACTACCATTATTATGACCAACAAATGTAGCATTAATGTGATATTATCTGATATTTAAAAATTTCAGTTATCAAAATGGTATCCTACACAGTATTTATTTAGAATCTAATAAAAGATCATACATTGTATTTACTTGAATCATTTTAAATTTCCTTAAATCTAAAGTAGGGAGATGAGAGGATGGCTCACTGGATAAAGCATCTGCTGCACAAATGTGAGGGCTGGAGTTCAGATCCCTTGCACTCAAGTAAATGTGAAGTGGATATTTAACCCATCTATAATCCCAACTCCCAGGAGGCAGAGACAGGGTATCTCCAGAGCAAGCTGACTAGCTAGACTAGCCAGAATTGGTTAGGTTATCTCCAGGGAAAGCAAGAATCCCTTCCTCATAATAAAGTGGAGAACAATAAAGGAAGATACTTAATATAAATTTTGGTCTCTGTACACATATACTCCCACACATATGTTCACCCACACATGTGAGCATACACATATACACATAGGCAAAATTAAAAAGAAAATGCAAAATAAATTCATAGTCTTTGCTCTTTTTCATCAGTTGTGACATTGACATCTTTAATAGCCCAGAATACTTGTGGTACAGCATGGTCTGAATTCTCATTAGATAAGTAGAAAATGTGTCCTTTTTGCACTGCATCAAAGGATACTCAATGTGCCAGTCTGTCCCATTATTGATGACCCTAAGTTTGATCACTTTGTTAAGATTGAGTCCACTCAAACCTATTACAAAAGTTATTCTACTTTCTTAACAATCTGCCGGGTAAACTTTGAAACCATGTCAATGTTTTATTTCCCAACAAACCTTTACCCAGTGGTTTTTATTATCCATTCAATTTCTTTACAAGTATTAAATAGTATATGATGGTTCCAAATAAATTTATAATTTTGCTGAATCTTTTACACTTATTAACCAGTATTATTCTGTGTGGAGCAGAAGCTCACTTTCTACTTTTATTTACTTTCTCCTTTTATTTATAGTAAAAAACTGTTACTATGGACTCATGTGTTCTTTCTTTATTATATGCATTACAATCTATTACCATCATTATTCTTTTTGGCTCCTTAGGTCTGGGATTATTGGCATGAGCCAATATAC